AGACACAATTATTCCCATTTGGAAGTGATTCCAAAAGCAAGATAGAAATAGAAGCCCAGATCATCTCTAACCTTCATTGCAAAAGAGAGAGTGAGGTACAGGCTGACTCCCCAGCTCTCTTCTACCACCTGACTGTGAACCCCTGCCTCTCTGGTGCTCTTCACTCTCTCACATTAGTTTAACAATGGCAGTCAGAGTTCAGCTTTGTTCGCTTTCTATTCAGAGAGACAAAACATTTTTTTTTGAGTAAATTTAGATTGGCTTACATACTTTCATGAATAAAGTTTTATTTTATGTTTTTCTGCATATAGTTTTATTTGACTTCAACTGCAAATATCTGTTCATTTTGATTGCTTTGATGGTAAGTTTTTCTCCCCATGATTGCTTTCTATGTATATAAAGAACTACACATATGATAGAGTTTATTGCATTGTCTCCTCAACATCTTCCCTGGGAAGCAGCTCCTGTTGTTCAACTTGGTTGACTCCAGGGCTCAGACAATACATACTATCTCTTTATGACTTCTTGCTGTCAACAAAGCAGAGAATCCTTGGTGATTAGCATCATCTTAAGCTTGTTAACTTTGCTCCATGGCTTTGCTTACCTTTTAGTCTTTGGCTCAGAGATGGATGGGGTGCTGTGCTTTAGGTTATTTAACCCAGCACTCAGCTTCTCCTACAAAAATCTATATTGCTGATGTTTGACGTCTTTGTACAATCTCTACCAATAACAGTAAACAAGATAGTAACAAACTGAAGACAATAACCCTGAATACATTTATTGACTGCACATTCTATCATGCTGATTTTCTATGCAAAGTTAGCTCTCTGCTTCCAAGTATCCATGGATTCAACCCATCATGAATCAAAAATATTATATGAGAAATGTGTCTATATGAACCATGTGCAGATATTTTTATTTTGTCACTACTCCCTAAATGGCATACTTGTGATAGGTCATTCTATGGGAGATTTCAACTTTACCATAGTGTGAAAGTTACATTATTCCATGAAAACTTGATTTCAAATTTTGAGTTTTGCCCTTATTCTTGACAATCAATATGCTGAAACACCCTACATCACTCCCTTTCTCAGTGCTGAACAATGGCACCCAGTCACAACTACCAGCCAGCTACACAATAATGAGAGAAACAGCAGAGACTACAGTATACTATGTTACTAACTAGTGGTTTCTCTAGGATAGCTGAAATAAATACACTTCCAATTAACAACATCTTCAGTTTGCAATGGATTCATCAAGACATAGCCTCATTTTATGTCAAGGACTATGGGTACAATGCAGCAATTATTTACATAGCATTTGTGTCATATCATATATTGTAAGCAATTTAAAGACTATTTCACCTACGCAGAAGGGTCTATGAACGTTATAACTATACCAAGTTATCAGAAGATTTTGAAATCCATGGGGATCCTGGAAACAATCATACAGGACTCGCAGGACAAAGTGTGGTCTATAGAGGACAGACAACACTTTTAGGGAGGTTATTGTCTCTTTTCACATTACATATGTCCTGAGGCTTGAAGTCAGGTCATCAAGCATAAGCAGCAAAGGTGTCTTTATCTACTTAGCTACTTCCCAGGCTCTAAAATACAAATCTTTCTGAGGAGAATAATGGAATCCTCCTTTCATGGCCTTCACTGACTCAGCCAAAACATTGTGGTAATAAATCAGCTAATGTGTATAAATCTTTAAGGTATCATGTAGCTCAAATTAAGTAATTAAATTAAATTAAGCTTTTCACTTAATTTTTGCTAGTTATTCTACAACTGAGCTTCACTTAGCCCTATTTATTTTTTAATTTTTGAGAGAAAACTCAATTACATGATTCCTCAGGATATAATGGCTTTGTTTTCTTTTTAATGGATGTATGTGCTAGTTGTTTTTAATATAGTTAACATATAGAAAACACTAGAGCTCCATATGTTCTATGTGAGAGAATGTAAATCCTCTACCAACTATAGCAGGCATACTATTATTTCAATTTTCATGGCAATTATACATATCCTAAAGAATCCATGTCCTACAGGTTAATACCCAAAGCTGCAGTCTTTGTATTTTACAGTAGGAATAAACCTGAGATCAAAGAGATGAGGTAATTTTACCAAAGATCATCCCTAGAATATGAACTCACTGCTGACCCTGAAATTTCATAGCTCTAAAGCCAGACTGGAGAGATGGCACACAGGTGAAGAGCACTGCCTGTTCTTCCAGAGGTCCTGAGTTCACTTCCCAGCAACCACATTGTGACTCACAACTATCAATAATGAGATCTGGTGTCCTCTTCTGGCCTGCAGGGGTGCATGCAGGCGGAATGTTGTATACATAATAAATAAATCTTTTAAAAAAAAGGAAATTAAAGCATTCTTTTCAGCAGAGTGTAGGGGGTGGGTGGCACATGCCATTAATCCCAGCACGCAGGAGGCAGAGGCAGGCAGATCTCTGTGAGTTCGAGGCCAACCTGGTGTACAGAACAAGTTCCAGGAGTTTTAGGACAGGCTCCAAAAGCAATACAGAGAAACCCTGTCTCAAAAAAAAATGTAATCTTTTTCATGTTAGTTGATACAGAAACATCCCTTCATGTCTACATTTATAAAGGATCAAAAATAAATTTAGAGTGCTATTCCTGGCACCATTAAAGACTCTCTTACCATGTAGGAATTGGTTGCCAACTGGTTATCACTATGATTCTTAAACATTGTCATGCTTTTCATGTCCTCTAAAGAACGATTGGTGCAAACATGGATTCCTGAACTCAAATTTCAAACTGCTCTAGAGAGAAGCAGTGAAATTTGTTACTCTCAGAGCTAGGCAATGATAAGTGTCTATGGGCAGAAAATACAGTGGACCTATTAGGTCACTTGATGTAAAACACAGTGCTTCAAATATTCCATGACTTAATGAAATCTGGAAACCAGAAAAATATTTTCATTGCTTGCCAACCAGAGGACAGATAATTGAATTAATAAAATAGGGGATGAAAGATGTAAACATGCTCATAAATTTCCAATCAGATACAGTGTTGAAATAAAATAGAGCCGAAAGTAAGCAATAGCACTGTGTTCATTCTCATAGGCAACCCAACCTATGACTTGAAGAAAGACAAAAAGGGTGTCCAGATACCCAGGACTGCAGTCTCTCTCAAGGTAACAGACACAGGAGCAGTTTACACCCATAACACATTGCTTCCATGAGTTCACAGGGCAGAAGAGATTTATGTTAGCTGAGATGATACTAATGAAAGCAATAAAAGCACTATTGGCTTTAGCATCAGCAGAATCAGGAAGTCAACAACTTGTTACCCAGATGTTAATTTGGAATATAAAAATACTATATAGTTAGGTAGAATAAATTAAAGATGGAATATTGAGTCAGGATAAATTCCACTCTCCATGCAGTTGAAATAGAATCAATTAACACTTAGGTCAAGCAGATGAGAATTCCTAGGTAAGTCTATGCATGACTTTGATCAAGGAGGAATTTAATGCTACTCCACTGCAAATCTACTTATTTGCTACTGGCTGGGAGAACTTTTCATCTTTCGGTCGAAGAAAACTCACAGGACGGCTGTTTTCTTCTTTCTGCAGTCAGGCCTGTTTCTTTTATTAGAATCTCTTTATGCAGAAACAGCTGAAAGAGGGAGCAGGTGGTTCCATGGAATTTCTTTATTTTGTTTCAGGTAAATATATTTGGAGCCAGAGCAAGGGAAAGAAAAAGAGAGAAGCTATGTATTTAGAAATTCTATTTTAAGGTGTGTCTTTTAGGAAAGATGAAAAGAAATTTAATTGAATTTGTAAACAAAAGCTCTGCTACAATTTACAGATACCTCAAAAGAATTTCATCATTCTTAGATTGTAATAAATAATTGGATGCATTTAAAGCCTAGTTTTCTTTTGACCAGTTGAGTGCTGTGATGAGAGATTTGCAGCAGTTCTACATGGTGTGAAAGGTGCTAAACTAATGGTTTTAAGTTGAAATAGAACACATTTTCGTTCCATGCCTTTGGCTCTGTCTGCCTCATTGGTTCTTGTTATACAGATTTGAGAATCCCAATGAATCCATGAAGCACTGGATGTTTTATTTCAGAGCATGAGTCTAATTATAAAAAAAATTATCCCCTTTAAAAGTGAAATGACCATACCAGGCTGGTGAAACACACAGAAACAGCTGACCTGATCAAGGGAGACCTCTTGGTCCCTAGACTGATAGCTGAGAAACCAGCATGGGGCTGAGCCAGACCCCCTGAATATGGGTGTCAGTGAGGAGACCTTGGAAATCTAGGGGGCCTCTTGTAGTGGATCAGTACTTATCCTTAGCAGAGGAATGGACTTTGGGAGCCCATCCCACATGGAGGGTTACTCCCTGAGCCTAGACACAAGGGGGTTGGCCTAGGCCCTATCCCAATGAATATGACAGACTTTGAAGACCCCCTATGGAAGGCCTCACCCTCCCTGGGGAGCAGAAAGGATATAGGATAGGTAGACTTAGTTGGGGGAATGGGGGAGGAGGGGAGGGAGAGGGACCTGGAATTGGCATGTAAAATAATTTTCTTTCTAATTAAAATTTTAAAAATTTAATAAATAAAAAAGACAAAAATTACCTTAAATATGAGGGACATAGCAAGCAGCTCCATAATTCACCTGGTGGTAGAGGACTGATTCCATTGCTCGAGTACTCTCATATTAAAACATCTGTTCCTCAAAAAAAAAAAAAAAGTGAAATGAAAGACAGTAGCCTAGAAAGCAGGTTCAGTGAATGAGATCAGCATAGCAGTGAAAATACTGGGTTCATAGAATACATTAAAATAGTTTACATAGGGATGGTATTACAGTGTACCTTCATTGCTCAATTGAGCATATATCTGTTACTGAAATAATGGCTGAATGATGTAAGGTGGAAGTGGGAATATTAATGATTATCATTGGAGAAGCTACACGAGAAATTAGGACTCAGCAGTTAAGACCCCTTACTTTGCAATCATGAGGACAGAATTTAAAACCCAGCACCCATTCAACAAACTGGACATCCTACGTAAGCCTTTGCTATCAACTCCAAGGGATCCCATGCTTAACCTTCTGGCCTCCTCACTTACAGGTATTTATATACTCACTCCTTCATGCACACACAAATAAATAAACATTATTTTAATGGTGCAGTCTTTTATTTTTACTTTTATTTGTTTATTTATTTATTTATTTATTTATTTATTTTTGGTTTTCGGGACAGGGTTTCTCTGTATAGCTTTGTAGACAAGGCTGACCTCAAACTCACAGAGATTCTCCTGCCTCTGCCTCCAAGTGCTGGGATTAAAGGTATGCACCATCACCACCCAGGTAATTGTATACTCTTAGTTGTAATAAACAGCCACCATTTTGGAAAGACTAAAGGACACAGTATGAGCATTAAAAGATCATTTTATTATTTTTCTACTGATTTTTATCCTAAGTATTCCTTATTATGTGGGCCATAGAATTCCATTCAAAATCTAGAAAAGTGAATGCATGGGATCACAGAATGATTAGTTCCCAGAATCAGACTGGTAAGTGGAAAGATATTGAACAACAGATATGACAATTCACGTAGAAACAGGAATTGTTAGGACTACTTCATAGTTAATATTCATAATATAGTCTATATTTTAAAATTGACAAATGAGTAAACTTTTAAAGGTTGACCATACAATAACAAGTGTGTGAGCTAATGAATTTTGGCTTTATCCAATCAGGACTACAAATTATATACAAGTAAAGAAGCATTTCAACTTATAACATTTAAAATGTTCAATTATTATCTGTCCCCTAAAATACGAACGCATTTAAAGTCTCTATAAGAGTACAATCCTAAGAAAATAAGAATTTCAAAATAAAATTTGAGTAGTTACATTGTGGTTCTTCATATACTGCCTAACCTCAGCAGACCTTTCTTTTAGCTGAATTACTAAAATCATAGAAAAGAAGATGCAAGTTTTTTTTTCTTTTTGGATTTGAAAGCCTTGTCTTAAGAGTAATGAAGTGATAGATGTTTCATTTCACATATCTGCTTTTCTACAATAAAAGAGGTTTGGGAAGATAGTGAAGCTGAGTCTGTTTATTACTTAGCATAACAAGTGGGAACTTGAGATATTCTGTTTTCCTGATTTTTTTTCTGATCACTTCCTTTAAAGCTTGCAAACTTCTATGTAAATCTGAGTTTGAACAGGAAACCCTTGTGAATCCCAAGATGTCTTCTGGGATCATAGAAACTGGCACCTACTGAGAACACCACCTGACTGGAAGGGTGGATGGATTGAAATTATTGTTAATTATTGATGTCTCTATGAATTATTTTGTCCTTCCATTTATTTGATAATCAAGCATAGTATTTAATCAGAAACTTAAAATAGTATGCTTTTGCACAATTTTCATTATATGATTATAATGGAACCATCTCTTTTTATTCAGAAAAGTCAGATCAGAGGTGTAAGGGTCTCTGCCGTTATTGTTTTGTGTTTAATGTTTCCAGGCAGGGTTTCTTTGTATAACCCTGGCTGCTCTGGAACTCACTCTGCCTCTGCCTCCTGAGTGCTAGGATTAAAGGTGTATACCTCCAATGCTCTACAAAGGTGTAAGGTTTAATTGAAAGATTTGGTGTGCTAGTGAGGTAAGTAACAGCAGTAGAGGTCTCTCTCTCTCTCTCTCTCTCTCTCTCTCTCTCTCTCTCTCTCTCTATCTATCTCTCTTTCTCTCTGTGTGTATGTGTGTGTGTGTGTGTAAGAGAAAAAAGAAGTGTGTAAGACAAAAATGAAAAACTAAACTACAAAATGTGTCTAACTTCCTATGGAATTGTGTATTAGCAATGGTGAGAAGTCCCTTATAGATCTGAGGACATTGCTCAGTGACTAAAGAACTCTCCATGAACACACAGGGCCTGAGCTCATATGCACTGTACTCCTGTAAGTGTCAGGTGTGCATGTCAGGCTTGTCATTTCAGTGTTCTGAAATTAGAGACAAGGGATCCCCAGAGCAAGCTAGCTAGATGTACACGTGAACTCTGAGTTGGAGAGACCTTATCTTGATCAATAGAGTGGAAAGCAATTGAAGACTACATGCACACAGACAAACACCACAAAAGAAAGAAACCTGAGAGCCTTATCATAGAGTAGGGTGACTTCATCTTCTAATGATCTCATTGCTACTTACCACTGAAAATGGACATTTTATTTTGTTTTAAAAGCCCAGCCACACAGAAGAGAGCAATCATGTTCCCATGGCATTCTTTAAAAGGGGAGCTTAAACTTTCATAAATGAAAAATCAGACCTAATGAGAAATGGGCTACATTTTGCGATGCTGATCCTTGATTCCTTTGCCTTTAATTATTTCAGCTATTTTTATGGCACCTTTTCCTGGCTCTGGGGTTCTTTTGTATCATTTGCAGCTCTGCAAAGTCCCTCTCTAGAATTAGCCTCTTAGAGTTGATGTGGGAATTGTGACTCAAAAGCACCACCTTCGGATTCATTACAGGGAAGGCTTCCTGTAGTTAGTTTGTTCTGAAGAAAATTTCCATTTTGCAAGGGCAGTGTAAATTTTGCATATCATTTTAATAGTAAGGTAGGTCAATCAAAGTATAATTGGCTCCAATTAGCGCTCCCATGAGCTGAAAGGTTTCTTATGTCTCCTAGACAGCACTTAAGAAGAAAATTCTGTTTACTGACACTGAAGCCTTAAGAATTGCCCACTAGTTACTGTGAGTGATGAGGAAAGTGGGACTCCAAAGACACAGCACTTGGGCAGATATATAAGGTCTGCACACAAGCATGCATGTGGTACCAAGCACTGTCATGTGAAATATTCCTATGACAAAGCACTTTCTTTCCACTGTTTCACTGTTTGGTTGTGAAACCAATAAGTTCCTGCATTAGTTTGGAACTAATCTTAAAATTGCTTTCTAATATTTTTTCAGGGTCTTTGAACTCTTAATATAATAAAAATGGAGAAACAGCAAATTCTGTCTTATATACTGTCATGGTGGTATATCAACTTGATTGTCTTAAGAAAACATCTCTCTAGAAAGGATTAATTGAGGCAGAAGACCTACTGTGAATGTGGGTAGCACAACTGGGCTGGGATCAGAAAAGGGATGAAGCAGAAAGGCAGCTGAGCTCAAGCATCCTCCTTTTCTGATCCCTGACTGTTCTACAGGGTGTAACTGGCTGCCTCACATTTCTGTTTGCATGGTTTCCTTGTCATGACAGTACCTAATATTGTGAGTGAAAAGAAATCCTTCTTCCTTTGAGTTGGTTTAGCCAAGGGTTTCTTTGTCACAAATGTTTTTAACTGTTGTTCTGTTGTTTTCTTCCTCAGTCCCAACATCATACCTGGAAATCCTATTCCATGTAAACTGAGGATTAAGTTCCTTGAAGATTCTATCTGGGGCCTGAACAACTTATCATATGTATACATAAATCTCACAATAATTATCCCTAGTTCTTTTAAACTTACCCCTTCCCACCATGGAAATGTAAACTGATTTCTTTAACAATGATATTTCTGCACCAGTTTTGTGGGAGGAAGGATGTATTTCAGTCAAAGCACTGCAATGATTTTGTCACTTCTCCTTGGGTATGCAAAGCTACTGATAGACAGTCTGCGATTGAATATGGTTCCAATTTTTACCCTCCTGTTTTGAGATCCCCTTGGATAAAAGAAGGAAGAATAAGGTTAATCCAGTGTAAACATGCTGACACGGTGATTGGACAGGGGAAAATAACATGAGAAAAAGAATGCATATCACAAAGAAAGTAATACACAGTAGACTTTACAGATGCCCTGAACATATGGAGGCAGGAACTTCATCGTATCAGTGACAATGTCAACGGTACCAGAGAAAAGATGGGGCAACTCAGAGAGAGGGAGAGGAGAGGGAGGGGGAAGAATGCTCCAAACTATTGAGTTTACAAGCAATTGAGAATTGGGCTTGGCTCCTAGTTGTCTACAGGATCCTAACTGTCAGCCTGGGGCTAGCCTAAAAGCATCATAATTTCAGTTCTTAATACAGTTCTGGTTAGAAACTCACAAGTCAGACTTACTAGGGCTCAAAGCCAAAATTCATTCAGTAGATATTCCTAATGACCCAGAGAAACCTGCTGTATATGCTGTATAGCATAGCAATTTATAAAACAGCTTTTGAAGAACAGCCTCCTGAAATGTTAGAAATGTCTCTGATGCCTCATGCCAGCTCCTAACACCTGACCATTCTTTCTAGTTTTTACCTTGTTTTAGATTGTGAGGTGTGCACTGAATCCCAGCCTGTCAGCCAAGTGGTATTACCTATAAACCTCAGAGCAGAATTCCCTTTTCAATTGTGTGAATCACTGATAAAATCTTGAATGACATCAAGTATGCTTCCCTGCACTTTTAAATATGTCTCATCTTAAAAATAGGTCAGACTTCCCCAGTTGGCACCATAGAAAATGGCCCGAGTTACTTTTACAGTTTTGCCTAACTGCATTTTTGCTCGACAGAATTTCTTCTAGAAAATGCCTGGGCTCAGGATTAAATCTCCTTTGTAATAGAATTTCATAATGGAACTAGAAACAAACCTTCAAATGTCCATAGTGTGTGCATTAATATTTCTCCAGGTAAACACCAGAGTGGCATATTTCATGTTAAATTGACTAGTTGTACACTTCAATGACATAGGAAGGAATGTGGCTGACAAAGTAACATCATCCATCATGGACTACTTTTCAGAATGCAGAATTTCAAATTTTATTCTCTTTATTTATGGCTTTGATTGTTAGACACTCTTTGCCCCTAGTTAAAAAAAATGCTATTCCTAATACACTTACAGGTTTGTTAATAGAAAGCATACCAGTCAAGTTTTTAACCATAGTGTGTTTATGTTTTCCTCAGAGATTGTGAAAGGTTTTGTAAAGCCTAGTTTGTGGGTGACTATGAAATATAATTTTTAGTATAGCTTCTAGCTTATTCCTCATTTTCAATAAAATGATTCTGAATCCTCCCAATGGGTACTGAAATGATTTATATTTGGCTTTTCATTACACAATTAACATTTATTACAAATGAAGATTTTTTTATAAGTAAACTCTCATAGT